ATCCAGTCATCCACCCATCCACACACTGGTGATGGCAGCTACATTGTAGCCACAGCTGCCCTGGGGCGCACTGACAGAGTATGAAGTTTTTGACTGAAAACTTGTTTTGTTGGAGAAATGTTAGACTGAAATGAAAATGGTCCACTTACAGAGAGCTGAATTTAAAGACACAACAAAAACCAAAGTGAAAGCATGGAATTTAATTTTATTTATATAGCGCCACAACAACAATTACCTCAACACGCTTTATATGACAACAATACAAAGAATGCAACAATCAGAAAGCCCAGCTGTTGCACGGCAGTGAGGAAAGACATGTTTTAAAACCCCTCCTTTAACAGGAAGAAACCTCCGACAGAGCAGGGATCAGGGAGGGGCTGCCATCTGCTGCACCCGGTTGGGGATGAGGGACTCATCCTTCACAACCCAGAATGATATACAGTAGATTATACAGCTCCACAGTGAGCAGAGGGTCCGCTACAGGACGTCAGGCTCTTAGGCCACACTTATGAAGTCTGTTTCTGATTGTTTGGTCAGAGACATTCACATCCAATGGCCTGCTGGAGGTCATTTTGTAGGACTCTGGCAGTGCTCATCCTGCCCCTTGTTGCACTGCTGACGGCTTAAAATATAAATATATAATAAAATTCAAAAATAGTGAGAAAACAGTCTGGAAAGATAAGTATAAACATTCAAGCTACCCTAATTAATAAAGCTTCATTATAAGCAGAAAAGACACGATGAAAAGCAGAATAATCAACAAAGCAGCAACTGAGAAAAAGTGACAAACTGGCATTAGAGCTTTAGCCTGCGAGATTGCCGACGTCATTATCCGACAATTAAAAATGTTTTTCCTATTTTCTTCTACAAGTCTTGGCAGCGCTCTTACGGGTATTGTAGCCGACATGATGCTCCACCACATGCAGAACATATATGAAGAAGCTGCTGGAGACCAGAGCTACTACCACTAAAAACCACACTAGAGTCCTGCCAACAACACAACTTCTTCAAGAAATCATCAGCTGAAAGTCTAACGAGGTCAGAAAGAAAAGCGTCTGGACTTCTTTCAGCTGCATGAAGACGGGACTGGGACTCTCCACCAATTGACTCTTAGAACTGAAGAAGCTTCTTGGATGAGAGGTGAAACATCTTCAAGCAACTTAAAGAAGTCCAGAAACTTTCCAAGCTCCTTAGACTACGATGACCTGGATGACTGAGAACCTTCGCAGACATCAGCTGAAAGGTTAACAAGAACTGGGGACAAATGTTTAATTACATCAAATATCAGGAGTGAAAAACCTCTTTATTTTTAGAGTATTTTATAGAGCTTTGATGTTACTATTTGCCAAATTCAGCTGAACTCCCACAACAAAATTATATTTCTCCTAATCCTGATCTTGTACAATATATAATACGACTTACATGATGCTTTTTTTTCTCTTTTACCCACCAATAAACAAAGTCTTGGTTAAACTTAAACCTATTTACTTAAACCTTTAAATAAGTATAAAGGAAACAACAGATTTTTCAGGAGCCGTCCAACACTGATGTTTCTGTTCAGTGATGTGGTTGGATAAAGTCTGAACAGTTTACACGTGCCAGCAAAGGGCTGTGCACGCTTGGACATTTCTTCAACCAGAGGCACGGAGCATAACTCAATAACAAAGCTAAAGAGCTTCTTAAACACATACAGTCCATTTCAGTCAGACGCACACAGTGCAGATGGTAATCACCTCGGCTAATCCCTATAAAGTCGATTGAAAATAGCCCGGGTGGAGGGGGCTAGGAAACGGATACACACACTTGTATGTCACGATCTAGCCCTCGTGTCCTTCTGCATGTGTAAAGAGACTTATAGACTCTTCTGTGCTGAGCACTTGTTACTACAAGCCTCATTCAGCCAGTCGCACACACATTCATACAACCACTTTCTTCTATAGCGTTCATCCACACACTCAGACGAATGAAGCGCAGGCAACTCGGCATCTTGCCCAAGGATATTTTGACATGCAGACTGCAGTAGCCAGGGAATCGATCCATCAACCTTTGGATTGGTGGACAACCAGCTGAGCAGTCAGGGCGGCACTGTGTGCATGCGTCCGTGTTAAAGCACAGGCCACCAATTTCCTAGTCAGTCTCACAATGTAATGCCAAGAAGTCCCCAGGGTGCCTATATACAAACGTGACTGCATGCATGGACACAATAACAGCAACAACTAGGAAATCCAATCCCATCAGTCCGTACGCCACTAAATCCTGTCACTGTGATGCTCGTTGTGTTTATTCCACTGTTAGACTACGCGGTACATTTTGGATAGTACTGGTATTATGATGGTATCTATGAGCAATGAGGACGCAAAGAAATGGTTCATGCCTCAGAGCAGCAGTCAGCAACGCCACAGACCGGAGAAGCCGCTGCACAGACGAGGCTGGGTTGTTTGATTGTGTGGCTCAGCTGGTAAGTTTATGTCCATCCACTCCTAAACTGCACAGTGCTGCAATCTTACTGGCCGGTGGCACAAACAACTCACTGTTGCTGGTCTGCAGAGTGGCGCAAGAACACAGTGCACCACGCCGGCTGCAAATCGTTTTACCTTTTATACAGAGCAAGAAAGGATAGAAGCATCACACACACACACAGAGGATGTAGCTACTCACCAGTGTCTGTCATGGCTGCTGGCAGGCTCTCTGCTGGCTAACTGCCTTCGCCTGCTTGCTAGCACTGAGTGCGCGTCTGTCTGCAGAGAGGCCGCCCTCCCTGATTCAGTCAGGTGTGTCCCGCCTCTCACTCTGCCTGCTTCCCTGTCCTTGCTCTTCCTCCACTAATCCTATTACCTAACTCTCCTTTTCGTTTGCCTCGCTTCACGCTGCCCTTCTCTGCTCCCACTGCGCGTGCGTTGTCTGCTCCCATCATGTGTTCATTCTTTCTGCCTGACAAATTCAAAGTACAGGTGGTGAAGGAAAAGCTACAAACGAACAAAGACAATTATGTACAATATAACAAGCAAATCACGGTGATATTTACATATTTGATGTTTTTAAAAATATATTTCACTGTTATATATTATTGTATGTATATTTTTATCATATAAAACAAGGGACTAGTTTAAAGACTGATGGTGTAAACATGAAATCACATAGAAAAGACTGACAATATCTGCGGATTTTTTAAAAATGAAATACAAATATTTCTGGAGCTCTTTAAATGTTTTGGGAAAACAGGCTATAACTTAAGTGCGTGTCTGTGTACAGTGCATTGCCCTTTCTGATTTTTTCTCTTGTGCCAAATATGCAAAATATTTCAGATGGTCAACTTTTAATATTTGACATAAAGAACTCTTGTAAACACAAAATGCAGCGTGTGATAAAAAGGTTATCCAAACCTTCCTGACCTCGTGTGTAAAAACAAAACAAAAACAAAAGCTGATTGCCCTCGAATAAATGTGTTTGTCACTCTTCATGGCAAAAAAAAAATTGTAATAACTGGCAATGAGACTTTTTCATCACTGTACAGGAATTTTTGGCCCACTGTTCTTTACAGACGTGTTTTAGTTCACCCACTCTGGAAGGTTTGCCTGGTTAAATCATGCTTCAGTCTGATTTGTGTCCAGACTTTGACTACGCCATCCCAAATCCTCTTTTTGAGCCATTCAGAGGTGGACTTGCTGCTGTGTTTCAGATCGATCACGCTGAATAGCCCAGTGTGTTAAAGATTCATTGTCATATGCACACTAAAGAAACATGTTTCCCCCCAAATTCTTCCTTTGCTGTCTGTAACAAATACCCAAGAGGAGAAAAAACACTTAAATAAATAAATACAATAAATGATTTAAAAACAATAGAAATAATCATAAAGGATTATACTAAATACAACAAAAAGGGGGGGGAGGGCGGGAGGGCAAAAAATACACATACATATACATATATATATGTATCACCTGGATCACCAGTTGAGAAAAAAAAGAGAGCAACCATCACGATAATCTATGTATATACAGGGAGAATTATTAGGCAAGTTGTATTTTTGAGGAATAATTTTATTATTGAACAACAAACATGTTCTCAATGAACCCAAAAAACTCATTAATATCAAAGCTGAATGTTTTTGGAAGTAGTTTTTAGTTTGTTTTTAGTTTTAGCTATTTTAGGGGGATATCTGTGTGTGCAGGTGACTATTACTGTGCATAATTATTAGGCAACTTAACAAAAAACAAATATATACCCATTTCAATTATTTATTTTTACCAGTGAAACCAATATAACATCTCCACATTCACAAATATACATTTCTGACATTCAAAAACAAAACAAAAACAAATCAGCGACCAATATAGCCACCTTTCTTTGCAAGGACACTCAAAAGCCTGCCATCCATGGATTCTGTCAGTGTTTTGATCTGTTCACCATCAACATTGCGTGCAGCAGCAACCACAGCCTCCCAGACACTGTTCAGAGAGGTGTACTGTTTTCCCTCCTTGTAAATCTCACATTTGATGATGGACCACAGGTTCTCAATGGGGTTCAGATCAGGTGAACAAGGAGGCCATGTCATTAGTTTTTCTTCTTTTATACCCTTTCTTGCCAGCCACGCTGTGGAGTACTTGGACGCGTGTGATGGAGCATTGTCCTGCATGAAAATCATGTTTTTCTTGAAGGATGCAGACTTCTTCCTGTACCACTGCTTGAAGAAGGTGTCTTCCAGAAACTGGCAGTAGGACTGGGAGTTGAGCTTGACTCCATCCTCAACCCGAAAAGGCCCCACAAGCTCATCTTTGATGATACCAGCCCAAACCAGTACTCCACCTCCACCTTGCTGGCGTCTGAGTGGGACTGGAGCTCTCTGCCCTTTACCAATCCAGCCACGGGCCCATCCATCTGGCCCATCAAGACTCACTCTCATTTCATCAGTCCATAAAACCTTAGAAAAACCAGTCTTGAGATATTTCTTGGCCCAGTCTTGACGTTTCAGCTTGTGTGTCTTGTTCAGTGGTGGTCGTCTTTCAGCCTTTCTTACCTTGGCCATGTCTCTGAGTATTGCACACCTTGTGCTTTTGGGCACTCCAGTGATGTTGCAGCTCTGAAATATGGCCAAACTGGTGGCAAGTGGCATCTTGGCAGCTGCACGCTTGACTTTTCTCAGTTCATGGGCAGTTATTTTGCGCCTTGGTTTTTCCACACGCTTCTTGCGACCCTGTTGACTATTTTGAATGAAACGCTTGATTGTTCGATGATCACGCTTCAGAAGCTTTGCAATTTTGAGACTGCTGCATCCCTCTGCAAGATATCTCACTATTTTTGACTTTTCTGAGCCTGTCAAGTCCTTCTTTTGACCCATTTTGCCAAAGGAAAGGACGTTGCCTAATAATTATGCACACCTGATATAGGGTGTTGATGTCATTAGACCACACCCCTTCTCATTACAGAGATGCACATCACCTAATATGCTTAATTGGTAGTAGGCTTTCGAGCACTATACAGCTTGGAGTAAGACAACATGCATGAAGAGGATGATGTGGACAAAATACTCATTTGCCTAATAATTCTGCACTCCCTGATATAACAGTAAATACTAAATATTATTGTGGTAAGTGGCCTGTATTTGTATAGCACGTTACACGTTCAGTCATCCACACACTGGTGATGGAGCTACATTGTAGCCACAGCCACCCTGGGGCGCACTGACAGAGGCGAGGCTGCCGGACACTGGCGCCACCGGGTCCTCTGACCACCACCAGTAGGCAACGGGTGAAGTGTCTTGCCCAAGGACACAACGACCGAGACTGTCAGAGCCGAGGCTCGAACTAGCAACCTTCTGATTACAAGGCGAACTCCCAACTCTTGAGCCACGATCGCCCGATAGCATTGTGCAGCACGTAAGAGCGACAGTGCACAGTGTGCTTTGAGGTAGCAGCCAAGAAAGGTGTAGTTTGTGTCTGTGAGCACCCGTGTGTACACCTGTGAGCATGAGCACGCTTGTATTCAAAAGGTTCCTTCATGTAACGATCTGCTAGAGGGTGTGGGGTGTGTTGTGGAAGTTTTCCATTAAATAAAGCCTGCAGACGAGCGGTAGCTAACATTCTTTAATCAAACACACAAAGAACAGACAACCAAGCTTGTGGAGAGCCACATGACTGCGGGACAGACGGTCAGCAGAGTCTGAGCCCAGCATGGCTCTCAGTTAAATACCTTCTCCAGGAACAAACGGCAGTACACAGCTGTTTCACACCTTAAGGTTCACACTCCCTTGCTGCCTCCCAGAGTCCTCGAAGACACAAAAGACTCTTCCTGTGGAGTCGTCTGCTTCCCCCAACTTCCTTACTAGACCCCCACCATTTGTCTTACTGTATGAGTGTGAGACATGTTAAAATCCAGTGGCACCAAGGTATCATACAATAAAATAATGTGATTAATACATAAGTAAAAGAAATTCCTATACAGAGGCCATAGCCCCGTCCCCCAGGGCATGAAGCAGGTATGGAGGAGATCCAGGCTCCAGACATCCAGACACCCCCAGAGCATGAAAGTCCAAGGAAGACCAACGGAGGGGCAACCACGCCACTCTCCTGGAAAGAGCTGAGGAGAGGCCCGGGCGAGGGGTCACCCAGCAGCCACGGAGCAGAAGCCAGAGGGAGTTGCAGTGACGTGCCCCTGAGCTCCACCGGCAGCCAGCTGTGCCAGAGGGGACGAGCCGCAGGCCCAGAGGCCGAGGGCACCCCACCCCCAAAGGGGCCCGACCGAGCCACAGGCGCCATGCCCCGACAAGCAGCCACCGGGAGTGAGCCGGTGCATACCTGAATGCCCAGGCACGGACACCAAGAACCACCAAAGCACCGATGTCTGAGGGCGTCAGCCACCGGCAGGGAGAGTGGGGAGACCAGACCATATAGACACAGACATGCCTCCCTGCACCCTGGTGACACACCTGCACCCCAAGGCCCTGCATGTGTGGGGGATTGTGGTGGAGCGGGAAGAGTGAGGCAGGTGGGGGTTGGGCAAGTGGCCCCTCCCTGGGGCCAGCTCCCCCTACTGACCCCAGTAGGCACCCCCGCTCTCTGGAACCCACCAAGACCAGGGGGCCCAGGCTCATCTGGACCGGGGTCCACAGAAGCACTGCCCAGCCCCACAGAATCTGGAGCAGCCCACCCGACCCCACCACAGAGAAAACTGAACCCACCCCATCATCCACTCATCTCCCAGACTACACAAGACAATAGACGCCCAGGTTAAGTTCATTATCCTCCTCTCCCATATCTCTCCCCCACTCTCACTCTCTGGGGGAGAGTTTACATTTCGAATGCTTCAGCTTCAGGAACTGTACTGGAATCTGTGGTGCTGCAAGAACTAAAACAGGGAAGACTTAGGCTACGTTCACACTGCAGGCGAAAGCGCATCAAATCCGATTTTTTTGACCCTATGCGACCCATATCCGATCATGGTGTGACAGTGTGAACGGCACAAATCCGATATTTTCAAATCCGACCTGGGTCACTTTCATATGTGGTGCTGAATCCGATACATATCCGATGTTTCAGAAAGCGACTGCTGTTTGATGGTCATGTCGCATTAAATCCGTCTTTTACGTCACTGACACAAGACAGACACCAACTACCAGTGCCGGAGAAGACATCGCGAACGCTTCCTCCAGTGTAGATGTCAGTGAAACTGTTGGGAAGACAACGTTGGAGAAACGTGAATTTTCTTTGTACTGTATAATCTGCAGATTCTGACAGAAATCTGAAGCTATCCTTTGAAGCACCGCTCCTCTAAAACAGCAATAAGGATCATTATTAGGTTTTTTACATTATTATGTCGCCAGAGAAGACAAACGAGAAAGCATGGCAGCGGAAACTGGAGACGGAGCGAGTCAAGGGCCACTCACTGGTTCCGACTTCATGTCCATATATACC